GGTACATGTTTCGCCCGAGGGGCTGTTTACGTTTCTATTATTTTACTCACTGTTTTATCACTCGTTTGAAACTACTGAAAGTTGTTTTAAGAGATTTTACTGAAACTGAGCTTGATTTATGAAGTAAATGATTTCTGTACTATTTTGGAAATGTAGTGCATTTGCTGTAGCGTTATGACGTGGCTTACGTGTTTTCTTACTGCTCAGCTTTCATTTACTTTTATTACTTACTGACTTGGCGTACTCACATTACTCCCTGCACCTTGTGTGCAGATTCAAGTAGTCTGAACCCAGTAGCCGGTGTTGATCGCGCAGTGGCAGAGTCAGTGGAGTTAGCAAGGTAGCTGTCCGACGTTCGCTGCACTGTTTTTCTCCCTCTTGTCTCTCCTTATACTGTATCTAGTACATTTTAGATTCTTAGTTGTGTTCAGACCTTAGTAGATGCTCGTGACTTGTGACACCCCGACATTGGGCTGTGTTTTGTTTCTGCAGTTGATATATTTCACTTTATTTTGGGACCTTGGCTGAGATCAACTTTCTTATTTCTTTGGCCATGGCGTCTAGCTGGGCTTGCATTGCTGTGTTAGAATCTACTTTATGAACCGCAACCGATTTTCTTCTATCATTACTATCAGCAGGCCACTGATTAGCATCTTCAAAGAGCTCATCAAGAATTGGCACAATCTCCTCAGGAGTCTTCTTCATTAAAGGACCTCTGACTGCAGTGTTCATAGTTCGTCGTGAGGGAGGTGTCAGTATATCCCAAAAGTTCTAGAGTTGCATCTACAATTCAATCCCCTTATGCTGACACTTCCTCACTATCTCCTTGGATCTCTTCCAAGCCTCGAAACTGTTTCGATGTCCGTCTGGCAGAAGTTGTGAATTTCCCTTCTGAATTTCACTATTTTGTAGTTGAGAAGTATTAGTCAAGAAGCTTTCTAGTCATTTCTTCCCATGTCCTGATTTGGTAAGCTACGAAGCCAGTACTTCGCGTCATCCTTCAGTGAAAAGGGGAATGACCTTAAGTTAACTGCATTTTTCGACACATTGTTGTACTAGAAGGTGTTCATGATTTCCTCAAAATCCATCAAGTGAGTGTTATGATCTACATTCACTTTCACTCTGAAGACACAGTTGTTCTGGATAGTTTGAAGCAAGCCTAGTTTCAACTCGAAATTATTTGCTGCTACTGGTGGAGGTCTGACACTGGACAGTCCCTGATTGTAGACTGGTCTGGCATAATCACCCAATGCTCTACCAGGCCTGGGTACAACATTCTCGAACTGGTTTTCAATCAAGGGTCAATTTAGATTGAATCTTCGACCCCCATTATCTTTGACGGTCTCCTCAGCAGCTCTACGGGCTGCCTCCGCTGCTATCCTTGAAGCTTCTTCTCTATGTTGTACTGCCTCTCTTACAGCTAAATCTACCTCGGCGTCATCGTAATTAGCCATGTGTTCTTGGGTTGAAGGTTGCTCCAAGAACTTTTCGGTGAACTCTTTCTCCTTCCTCAGTTATCGCAAGTGTTTTTCCAACTCCGTTTTGTAGGGTATTACTTATTTTGAAGAAGATCGACTCATACACCACGAACTTAAACTGTTGCCTATACACGGAGGAGAGACCCGTGAAGAAAAAAATAAAGAAAATTCCTGAATTAGCACCAAAAACTAATTTTGAACAGTATTGATTGCAAATCCCCGGCAACAGCGCAAAATTTTGACGAGCGCAAAACACAACGCAAAATTAATGCTTGCTAGTTAAAGATAGTATAGTAAAGTATCGTTTCCAAAGGGATCGGATTTAAACAATATTCGAGTAATTTCTGGTTTAATTGCTATTCAGGAGAATCAACACTTGAGTTAAATGATTTTGAACTACGTTTAACTACTAAAACAAAACAATTGACAATTGACTGCAAGAACTAGAGATTAGCAGAGTCGGGTTCTTATTAATGTGAGGAATAAGGCATGACAGGATAGGTTCAAGATAGCTATTTGGGATTTAACTCTAGTTTAATTCTCTCTAATGTTCTAACGATTCTCACCAGTTCACTCGATGATTAGTTCAAACGTGTAGTCAAGACTCCTCTCTCGATTAAGTCTTAACTCTATGAGGTGAACTAATATAAGAACTGTGAAAATACGCAAGCACGCGTTAATGGATTAGTCTTAAGGAAAACGTCTCTCGAATATTCTCTTAACTTGATTTAATCAACAATTCAACAAGCTCTTTCGATTACTTAAGAGAATCAAGGAATTAAATCAAATAAAATAATACAAAGATAATCACCAAAATATTCCTCTTTCGATTAAATAAACTGGTGAATCAAGTTGCAACAATTCAAAACTCCATAAACGAATTCAAGCAAGAACTAGAGTTAAAATCCGCAAATATTTATCAAAACACCATATCCGTCAAACTCGAAGGTAAACTACTCAATAATTATGGAGGAAGTCATCACAAATATAATTAAAGAATCAGAAAACATCAATCTAAGGTTACAATCCAAACTCTCGTATTGAATTGATGGAAAGATGATGAAATCCCGAGTCTTGTAGCCTCCAATGCTCTCCCAAAGATTCCAAGGTCAAAAGTCCCTTCAAAAATATCTTTTTGGTATATTTATACCCTGTAGGAGTGGGCCCATGCAAAATCACCTTTTCCAAGCTGAAACAGGAATGTACTCTGAGAAAATCACACAGGCGTGCCGCCCCATGTGGGGCATTAGTGGGTAAGTTCAGAGAGCAAATTCTGACGGGCAGCAACACCAATACACCGCCGCGCCACCCCATTCGGTGCGGCAGTAGAAATTTTACATAGTAAATTCTTTTTTTCACGTTTTGACATCCAGACTTGGCCTTCGACCCCCGAACGCGATCCCGGTTTAATCCCTTGGGCTTTTACTTGGAATTCAAAGCTCCAACTTGTTCGATTTAGCAGCCGAATATCTTTTTAACTCAAAATCACTTCTTGCAAGGCATGAAACACATAATAAGCGTAACACACTAATATTCAAGCTCAAACAAGTAAAATGCAGTAATTAGAGTGCAAACTATGACTAAAACACGTGATTCTAGCTTACCATCATCGTACACGGCCACGTGAGGGCTCGGTAGCATCTTACATCACAATATTCCGTACCCGGCTACACAGAGAGCTCGGTCGTACCCAGCCACACAAAGGCTCGGTCGTATTTCTTAATTATTATGTCTCATCATACCCAACTAATCAGTAGTTGCACAATAGGTGCCTTACCCGGCCGTCTATAGCGCGGCTTGATAAAGTAAAATAGACACATATACATATAAGTGAAATGTAGAATCAACTTCAAGAGGTACTGAGTTTAGGCTCAGAATATTTCATACTTTATGACCCGTCAGATGTAGAATGTGAGGTATATGAGTTCATCTTAATCTATTAACTTTGACTCAGATATTGTCACTACATAAGTATAAATGATTGATTTTGATCCCAGTAAATAAAATGAGTTGTAATAAATTGTCGAACTCGAACCCATAAAGTTCACATTCTGAATTCGTCTGTGCCCTTGATGCCCATAGGACTCCCCATAAAACAGAAGGTTAGATTTTTTCCAAAATATACCAAGTACCTACAATCTTTACAGTTTTGTTTCATGGTGCATCAGCAAAGTGATAAGAAAATAAGAACCTGTAGTAACAAAAAAAGGACATGATTGAACTCAGAATTGAAGCTTACCAACCAAAAAGGAAATATTACTGCATTAACGGACCAAAAATGACCTCATCTTTTAAATCACTTTGAGCCGACAAATATACCAAAAAAGAGTTGTCAACTTGCAAAAATATCCTATCCTTAAACCTTGTCTTAACTTAAGCGTGCTTATAACCTAGATTATTTTCAACTTCACACCTCATCCTCCACTAATTAATACACTAATCCCACAAGCAATTCCTAAACCTTCTCATGGTTAGGCCTAATGACATGTAAAACCATCAAAGAAAATTATTTTTTGTGCACTGACAATGTATAAAAGTTTTACATCATCACGTAAAATTTACCTACAACGACAAGTAAATATTCATAGTGAATTTGATATGATAATCTGAAAAATAAGTAATAACCTATTACAACTGGTCCAGTTGCAATGACAGTATAATAATTGTTTATACTGTTAATGTATATAACTTAAATTCACCATCAAATATACGCCGGTTTAATTAAGCAACGCACAAGTGGCATTTAGACACGTTCACATGTGTTCCATATCTATTTGACAAACATATTTCAAGTCAAATATCATTGGCGCCAAACGGAACGTTCCCTTCTTCAACGGCAGTTAGGCACAAATATAACATATTTAATTCTTTTTCCTTGTTTCATGGCACTGAACAATTTTCAAGATTTCATCAACTTATTATAATAAAATAACGTCTAAGGACAAGTCCACATATACACACACATATAGATATACATATACACCTAAAAAAAGAAAACCGTACGGTGCACTAAGCTTCCGCTATACGCGGGGTCCGGGGAAGGGCAGGACCACAAGGGTCTATGTATGGAGCCTTATCCTGCATTTCTGCAAGAGGGTGTTTCTACGGCTCGAACCCATGACCTCCTGGTCATAGAGGCGGATCCATAATTTAAACTTTAAGGGTTCATCTTTTAAGGGTTTTAGCATTGAACCCGTTATATTTTTAAGTTATGGGTTCAAATGTACTATTTTTGCAATTTAATAAATTTTTTTATATAAATTTTTACTTTGCGTCAAAAGTTATAGGTTTAATTGAACACGCCATTAATAGTTTAATATGCTACATACCCCCTGCCTAGTCAAATGCCAGTAACTTTACCAGTTATGCTAGGGCTCTCCTTCCTTTTATATACACCTATTGTACACAACCTTACCTGCATTTCTGCAAGAGGGTGTTTCCACGGCTCAAACGCGTGATCTCCTGGTGGAATGGCAGTAACTTTACCGGCTACGCCAAGGCCCTTCCATATATATATATATACACCTAGCTAATGCCATTAATTTCTCACTATTCCAATTTCTCATGATTGGTGCAATAGCAATAAAAATGGGCTACTACAAGTTTTCCAAGTACAATTTCTTCTTCTTGATTATGGTTTTCTCTGTTGTTTTAGGCCAAAAAAATGATCAAATGATAAATGATCGCGCTTCGCTTCTTTCGTTCATGGCTGGTATAGTTTCTGACCCTTACCATGCATTAGAAAGTTGGAATTCTTCTAGCATTCATTTATGCAACTGGACTGGAGTTGGATGTGATCAGAAAATGAATAGAGTTGTTGAGCTTGATCTTAGTCACCATTCGTTACGAGGGACGATTTCTTCTGCTCTTTCTGGTCTATCATTCTTGCAAATTCTTGATTTATCTGGTAACTTATTTGAAGGTAAAATTCCTGCTGAATTAGGCTATCTTTTAAAGCTGAATCAGCTTAGTTTGTCTTCTAATCTTCTTGAAGGTAAAATTCCAGTTGAGTTAGGACTACTTCATAAATTGAAGTATCTTGATTTAGGAAGTAATAATCTTTCTGGTGAAATTCCTCTGCCTTTGTTCTGTAATTGTTCTGCTTCTTTACAATATATGGATCTTTCTAACAATTCACTTAGTGGTGAAATTCCTATGTACAATCAATGTGAACTTAAGGAGTTGAAGTTTCTTCTTCTTTGGTCTAACAATCTTGTTGGTGAAGTACCTAAAGCTCTTTCAAATTCTACTAAACTTGAATGGCTTGATATTGAGTCGAATTTGTTGAGCGGAGAGCTTCCTTCTGATATTGTAAGTCAAATGCCGAAGTTACAATTTCTTTACTTGTCCTACAACAACTTCATTACCCATAGAAATAATACTGATCTGACGCCTTTTTTTGCTTCCCTAGTTAATTCTTCTAACTTACAAGAACTCGAGTTAGCTGGAAATAATCTTGGCGGGGAATTACCTCCTATTATTGGTAATATCTCCAAAAACCTTGCACAGATTCATCTCGACGATAATCTTATCTATGGTCCTATACCTACACAAATTTCCAACCTTGGCAACCTTACTCTTTTGAACTTGTCTAGTAATCATCTCAATGGTACAATTCCTCTTGAGTTGTGTCAAATGGGAAAACTCGAGAGGCTTTATCTGTCGAATAACTCACTCTCGGGTGTCATTCCTTCTGCTTTTGGGAACCTTTCTCATTTAGGCCTTCTTGATTTGTCGAAAAACAAGCTCTCTGGATTGATCCCCGATACCTTTTCCAATCTTCCGCAGTTGAGAAGACTTCTGTTGCATAACAATCAGCTCTCTGGAACGATACCCTCGAGTCTAGGACAATGTATTAACTTGGAAATTCTTGATCTTTCTCATAACAGAATCTCAGGCAAAATTCCAAGTGAAGTTGCTGGTTTGAGCAGCTTGAAAATCTATCTTAACTTGTCTAACAATCATTTACATGGTCCTATTCCTTTAGAACTTAGCAAAATGGACATGGTGTTGGCCATTGATTTGTCTTCAAATAATCTCTCAGCTACTGTCCCTTCACAACTTGGTAGCTGCATTGCTCTTGAATACCTTAACATATCGCGTAATGCTCTAGAAGGCGCTCTTCCATCATCGATAGGAAGATTGCCTTACCTTAAGGAACTTGATGTTTCGTTCAACGTATTGAATGGGGAGATACCACAAAGCTTTCAGGCTTCATCAACTTTGCAAAAGCTCAACTTTTCCTACAACCATTTCTCCGGGAACGCGACAAATACTGGTGCATTTTCATCATTAAACATTAGCTCATTCTTGGGAAATTTTCAGCTTTGTGGCTCAATACAAGGAATGAAAAGTTGCCACAAAAAGAGAGGTCACCATTTTATAATCACAATCCTCCTTTCATTGCTTATAACTCCCATATTTTGCATTGTTGGCTACCCTTTGGTCTTAAGATCCAAATTCAGAAGCCAATGGACAGGTAAAGTAGCTGAAGATACAGAACAATGTGAGAAGAAAGAGCAAAAGTACCCAAGAATATCTCATATGCAGCTTATTGAAGCCACAGGAGGTTTTAGCAGCTCGAGCCTGATAGGAGAAGGACGATATGGGCGTGTTTATAAGGGAGTGTTAAGAAATAACATGAGAATAGCTGTCAAAGTAATCGACTCAAAAACAGCTGGAGAGAGCTTTAAAAGGGAATGTCAAATCTTGAAAAGGACTAGGCACAGGAATTTGATTAGGATCATAACAACTTGTAGCAGGCCGGATATTAAAGCTCTTGTTTTTCCCTTGATGTCAAATGGAAGCTTAGAAAACCATCTGTATCCGAGCGTTGGACTGAAACATCAATTGGATTTGGCTCAAGTGGTTAGCATTTGCAATGATGTAGCAGAAGGGGTGGCCTATCTCCATCATTATTCGCCCGTTAAGGTCGTGCACTGTGACCTAAAACCGAGCAATATTCTTCTTGATTATAACATGACAGCTTTGGTCACAGATTTTGGTATTTCAAGATTAGTAAAAGCTGTTGAGGACATTACCAATCCTATTGATGAATCAGTTTCTTACAACTCAACAGATGGATTACTTTGTGGGTCAATTGGTTACATTGCTCCTGGTTAGTTTAATGAATTAAATCATATACTATAGTAACTAAGAAGGGGAGCCTTGGCGTAACTGTTAAAGTTGCTGCCATGTGACCAGGAGGTCACGGGTTCGAGCCGCGAAAACAGCCTCTTACAGAAATGCAGGATAAGACTGCATACAATAGACCCTTGTGGTTCAACCCTTCCCTGAACCCCGGACCTGCTAAGATCGCGCATAGCGGGAGCTTAGTGCATCTATCAGCCCTTTACTATGGTAACTAATATTGTGTTCTAACTTTCTGTTCACTGTTTCATTGATTGCAGAATATGGAATGGGAAAGAGGGCTTCAACAAAAGGAGATGTATATAGCTTTGGAGTTCTTTTACTTGAGATTGTGACAGGAAAACGTCCCACGGATATTCTTTTTCAACAAGGCTCGAGCTTGCACGAATGGGTAAAGAGTCAGTATCCACATAAACTCGAGCCTATGATTGACGAAACACTACAAAGATATCCACAAGGTGACACAATTCCATCCGATAGCAAGATGTGGCGCGATATTGTGTTCGAGTTGATTGAACTTGGCCTAATGTGCACACAGTATAATCCTTCAACTAGGCCAACAATGTTGGATGTAGCACTTGAGATTGGCAGGCTAAAGCAATATATTTCAAGTCCTTGTAACTTTGTTGTTGAAGATGTTACAACAATGGATTAACAGTTTTTGATCTTAGAAACATCAGCAGAGAAACTATGCTAAAGTGCTTTCACGGGTTCGAGCCTTGGAAACAGCCTCTTGCAGAAATGCAGGGTAAGGCTGCGTACGATAGACCTTGTGGTCCGGCCCTTCCCCGGACCCCGCGCATAGCGGGAGCTTAGCGCACCGGGCTGCCCTTTTTTCTTTCATTGTATTTCTATGTTTTTTTTCTTTCTTTTCCCCTTATTTTAGAGATGCTTTTATGTTTGTTCAATTGTGATCCATTTTCTTAGCTTTGATCCTGAAAATTTCTTCAGGTGAGCTACACAAGTAGTGTGTTTGATATGACAAAAGTTCTTTTCGAAGAAAATATTATTTCCGCGAGGAAGTCAATTTCTGATGTCTGGTTGTTAAAAGATTAACATGGAACAAATGATACTTTTGTTAATTATAGACGGAAGTCTGAGCCGAGAGTCTCTTGGAAACAACTTCTTTATCCCTTCGGGGTAGGGATAAGGTCTGCGTATACTCTATCCTCCCTAGGCTCCACTAACGGGATTCTAGTGGGTGGTTGTTGTTATTGTTGTTGTTGTATAGACGGAAGTCATATTTCTTACTGTTATTCTAACTCTTAACTTCATATTACTTCTAGCACTTAAGCTTTATATTAATATTTATTAGCTAAAGATTTCATTTCAGCACTCCTTTGATTTGCTAAGACTATTTTTAATCTTAAATATATATTTTTCAAAAATAAGTTCTTATAATAATACTTTTAATACTCAAAAATTATCTTTAAGTAATCCTTTTAATACAAAACATTTTTCATGGAAAATGATTTTAATCTTTTTAATCCTTTTACGGCTCTTGTTCTTTCTAGATCATGATTAGGGGTGGCAAACGAGTGGGTAGGGTTGGGTCTAATATGGGTTGATCGAAAACGGGCAATATAAAAACGAATAAATTATCCGACTCGATCCATATTCAATACGGATAGAAAATGGGTTATCCAACGGATAATATAGATATCCATATTATTTATGTCTTCTTAAATATATATGATCACTTTTGGCAGAATTCCTAATGTCCCAAACTTGAGGAACCCCCAATTTGAGTCTTGGCATATATAAAAGTTACCCATTGATTATCCATATTCACTACTAGAAATTCGGCAAAAATCGACCAAGAAAAACCGACTAACTTTGGTCGGTAAAAAAACCGGCCAAAAACCGACCAAAGTTGGTCGGATTTTCAAAATATTTTAATTTTTATTTTTTTTTACGAAACCGACCAACTTTGGTCGGTTTTCTTTGGCGCAAAAATGCGGGAAAGTATTTTTGAGTCCCGCGAAATTTATTTTTCAAGAAACCGACCAACTTTGGTCGGTTTTTGCAATTAAAATAAATAAAAATTAATATTAAAGAACCGACCAACTTTGGTCGGTAAATTCGGCCGGTCATTTTAAAAAACCGACCAACTTTGGTCGGTAATTTTATGTTTTAATAAAATTGACCAACTTTGGTCGGTTATTTTCGTGCGAAAATGCAATTAAAGAGTATAAATAAAAAAAAAAAAGACAATCTTAAAACAAAATGCACCAATTATTTAGTGGTAGAATAGTATCCTGCCACTGTACACACCCCGGTTCGATTCCCAGACGGTGAATCTTTTGATTACATAATTAAAATACCGACCAACTTTGGTCAGTTTTTTTTTTGCAATATTTTTTTTTTAATTTAATTTACTGACCAACGTTGGTCGGTAATTTCCGACCAACTTTGGTCGGTATATTAAAACGACCATCAAAATACCGTCCAAGCGTATTTGGTTGCATGTCGGTAATTGGCCATAACCGACCAAAGTTGGTCGGTTACCGGATTTCTAGTAGTGGTTTTAAGTGGATAATATGGATCTTGTGGTCCGACCTTTCCCGGATCCCGCACATAGCAGGAGCTAGTGCACCGAGTTGCTAAATATATATCTTATCCATATTTAACCAATTTTTAAAAAGTTCATTATCAAACTCATTTTTTAGTTGATTTACGAGTGTATAACTATTTTGTTTATTCACTTTGCCACCACTAATCACGATCTTTTAACAATGAGACATTTTAAGGCTATACGGCTATGGACATGCAACCAACCAAATGTATCCTTTTTGCTGTGAAAAGTCTTGACCAGTATTTAAATGGTTCTTTAGTTCCATTCATTTCTTTGCAATTTAATTAGCATATCATTATTTAAATAGAACAAAAAGGCCCTCTTAATTAACACTAATACTTTTGGTGTTATCTGACAAATCGTATCTTGCATAGTCGAATTGCACTTAATTATAGGATCTTATCAGCCTAACATTAATATTAAATGTTAAATTTTATAGCTACCTATAAGTGGAAAGTTGGTATTACCAAACTCACTATATTAAAAATAACCAATGAAGTTCACCAATAACTTCTATGATTGCAAAATCAGATATATGTATTGGTATTAGTAGGTCAAGAATGAGTAAACAGTAAGGGCTAACCAGTTTCGGATCGATAATTGAAAAATATTCAGTATTTGCGAAGTAATTGAAAAATAGTCACTGTTTTATTGAATCACGAAAAGTTCCAACATAATATGTTGGATTATAGAGCCCCTGCGTATAAACTTCAAGCATATTATGCTGGACCTCCGGCACACAAAAAGTTCCAGCATAATATGCATGATTATGGAGCTCCTGCATATAAACTTCCAACATATTATGATGGAACTCCAGCACATTATAAAATTCCAGCATATTATACTGGAAGCTCAAATGTAAAATACTCGAATTCTTGCATATTATGCTGGAATATTTCCGAATTTTAAGAGTATTTTTGTGCAGATTTTATCTTTACATAAAAAGTGACTAAATTTCGATTATTTTTTAAATCGTGGCTATTTTTCAATTACCAATTATAAATATGGCTATTTCTGATTTTTAGATACACTCTTAAATTTTTGTCATATTCTCCAAGATATTAGAGAAAAAAAATTAATTAAGTGAAATTGAGGGGTTTCAAAAAGCTTATTTTATACAATCTTGAGAAAGAAAAAGAGTGGAATTACCAAATTGTGCTCTCTTTTTTTTGGTTTGGCAATCTAACCGAGACATTTTGAAAAATAGCCAGATTTACAACTGGTCGTTCAAAAATAGCCCAATTTAAAAAGTAATTGAAATTTAGCCACTTTTTATGTAAAGATAAATCTGAGCGAAAACACTGTTCAAAACCCGGAAAATACTCCAGCATATTATGCTGGAGTTCCAGCATAAGTATGCTGGAACTCCAACATAGTATGCTGGAACTCCAGCATAATATGATGGAGTTCCAGCATAAATACACTAGAATTCCAGCATAATATACTGGAGTTCCAGCAAGTATAATGGTCCAGTAATATACTGGAGTTTGGAGCAGCAGTGCTCCAGTCTCCAGTATATTATACTGGAGCCAGCAAAGTATAACGGTCTAGCATAATATGCTGGAGTTCATACACAAGTGCACCGAACTCCAGTATATTATGCTGGACCGGTCTCTATTGCAGCAAAACGGTGGCTATCTTTCATTGACTTGGTAAACGTTGGCTATTTTTGATTGACCAATCCGAAAACTGGCTATACCGTAAAATTTTGGCAATCTAACCTTCTTAAAGTTTTTTCTTTTTCTTAAACTTCTTGTAAAAAAAAAAAATTAATAATAAATAGTTGCTTACGATTCTCCGTATTTTATTTCACGAGTCATCAAGTACAATCACACACACAATTATATCATGAACTGTTTAAAAACAAATTGACAATTACCTAAATCATACCCGAGTTACATATAACTAAGAAGATTGTTCGAATGAACAATACGTAAGACTTCGTAAGTATTGAACGTTAATTTGGATTAACTAAGCCTTAAATAAGCGTTTAACATACTCCCAAAGTATAAAAAGATTGGATCCTCCTTGGTCCTTTTTACATAACATTCTCGGGTGCCTTCTATCCGATAGGTCGGTTGCCTCTCTAACTAGCGACTAGCCCACTTATGAAGCTAGATATACACCGCCACGTCGACACTCTCTTTAGAAAGTGAGACACCGGCTTCATAAGAGGGAAAGATATCTCTATTATGCCGCAGAGCAGTGTTCATGATTAGGAGTTCCATAAGAGAAGAAGAACGTAGCCTAGGATCGTCATAAATTTTTTTGGTTAAAATAGTCTAATGAGAAAGCATAAGTTCACATTCGTAGTTGCAATAAGTTGCGGCCCTATCATCTAATTCGCTCCAACAGATTGGCATGGTTCTGTAGTCAAATCAACTTTATCACTTTTATGAACCCATCGGACAACAGTCCTTTCAGGGGCTCATTAGGAACCTATTCACTCTGCGTAGATTGACAATCGGTCATATTTTTCACAGGATTTTTTGTTATTAATGCCAGCATTCTTACTTCTGATATCTCTAGGTCTTGTCACCAAAAATCTTTCCCGATTGACGGAACGTTCATCTACTGACACTTGAAAAAGCAGGTTTTAGGGTCTGGTGCTTTGGTGAATCTCTTAAGCCCTGATATATTTTTTTGATGCCATGGAGCTAGACCAGTAATGAGCTATTACGCTTTCTTCAAAGGGTGACAGCTTCCAAGCCCACAGGGGAGTGGCGAGTTCATTGTATTATATGGATAAAATCACAGAGTTGGTTCAAGATGTTTAGGAAGTGCTAAAGTATTGAAAATTTGGAAAAAGAACCAAAAGAAGCTGCAAGTCTTGGACGCGTCGCGAGCGCCCTAGCACCAAGAACTCGAGGGGCGTAACCACATGCATGCTTGAGATTCGAATAGTGTAATTGCTCCATCTCAACTACATCAAATTCCATACTGATCAAGTAATTATATCACCAGAAAAATAATTCATAACTATGTAATTACACTTAATTATACTCAAATTCAATTACAATGTGTCGTTTCAAACAGACTCCAAGTGGTTCTTAAAGTTCTCTTTTATTTTGTTTAGTATATCTCTTTTACACTCTATATATTTCAAATATGCGAGAAAAAATATGTTGAAAATAATTTTGTCTTTCATTAACTTTTTATGTAATAAAAATACTTTCTAAACTCAAACATATTGTTTTGTTTATCACATTT